ATTTTTAGTTGTCTAGCTAATTTCTTTCTATTTGTTTAGTAGAGACAGGGTCTCACTATTGCTCAGGCTGGTCTCGAACTCCTGAGCTCAAACGATCCATCTGCCTCGGCCTCCCAGAATGCTAGGATTACAGGCGTGAGCCACCACGCCCGGCCTGTGCATGATTCTTGATGCACATGTCCATGCATTTCTGTTGGATATACCTAGAAGTGGAGTAGCTGAGTCATAGATTTGTGCATATTCAACTTTAGGAGATAATTATCACTAGTCTTCCAAAATAGTATTCCAATTTACACTCTCAGTAATAATTTTTATATTATGGTGTAATTTACCAAACCTCCATACATCCCCCATTACAATAGCATAGTGATATATTACACCATATATGTACATAGACACACTTACATATATGTGTGTATATATACACACATAGTGTTACATATACATACATATATATATATACCCTGTGCTGCTTAGAGCTTAATATGTAGGGAAGAGTGATATGCAAATGAGTAGCAGCAATATAGTATAGTAAGTGCAGTAATATAGTATATTCAAATATAGTGGCTAAACAAAGGGAGGAGTGGTTATCTCCATTTGAGTATAGAAAAGCTTTATAGGAAAGATACTTAGCCCAGTCTTAGAGGACAAATGTGAGTCAGCCTGGTGGGAGAAACCTATTCTAAGCAAAGGAAACTGCACAGAGAAATGTGTAGATAATGGAGATCTGAAAAAAGACATATTTAACTCTAAGTTATGGCTGGAGCACAGGGAGCTTATGAGGGAATGGCAGGAGATAAGAGAAGAAAGACGCAGAGAGGGCCAGATCAGGGAGGTTTTAAGGGGGGTTTTAAGAGCCTGTGGCAGGCTCTGAAGTAGGGAGGTTTGTATGATCAAATTTTGTGTTTTAGAAAAATCATTCTGGTGGCAGTGTGGAAGGAGGATTGGAAGGTAGTAAAATTGAAAGGAAGATTATTACAATAATATAGGCAAAAAGTCCTGAAGGGCCTGTACAAAGAATAGGGGAAAGAATGAATCCATTAACGTTGAAAGGTAGAACTTCTAGGGCTCAGAAACCAAATGAGGGAATTAATGGAAAAGTCTAGGATGTCACCTAAGTTTCTGTTTTAAGAGAGGATTAGTGGTGAAGCTATTAACCAAGATGAGGAAAATGTGAGAAGTAGCAGGTTTGTCTAGGAATCTCTTGCAAAAACATATTTTACACTCATAGGTAAGAGGAAAGGAAAAATAAACACAGCAGCCTTCATGAAGAAAATGAAGAAAGTAAGCTTCAGGCTTTTATTTAGAATGCCAATCAGAATTACATAGATACTTTTCTCTTATGGAGGAGATAATAGAGACACTGAAATGTGTGTATGTGTGTTTTTTTTTTTAACTTGCTCTCCTTTACTTTTGGTATGGTTTCCCAACTATAGCAAATGAAAATGTACAGGGAAGTCCTTCCTATTCAGACAAATTCACTGCTTGTTTGAAGAGCTATATTCACTGCATCTCATATATTTATAACAATGTACTGGCCCTTATTATTCACTAACCCTTTTTGGAACTATATACATATATTTTTTTTCTTATTGTTAGTTATGATTGATACCTCAGGTTGGGTTTTTGAGTTTATAACTGTCTTGGAGATATGTGGGATGATCAGATGTCATGGAAAACAGACAAACAATTGTTACAAAAAAATTAACTACTCACTTGTCTCTGAGAACAACTCCTTCAATACATGCACCAAAAAGAACAACATTGCTTAAATCTATCATATTAAGAGTCAAGGAAACTGCTATTTACCCTTTAACATGACATAGAAAGTGGACATTCAGGATATTTCTTCTGTCAGTAAAATGAGTTGCTAAATTCACTATTCCTATAAACTCTTTCTTAAATTTTATATTTGATGTGGGCAGATTATCTGGCAAGAAGTAAGGTGGTAAAAAACAGATATCCTTATTACCAGAATAAAAATACTGATCACCCTTGTTCTACTGGATATTCCTATGACTAAGACTCAGACAGGAGCCATGAAAAGGATACAGACAAAGGAGGTGGTCAGGATGGCAAGGATAGTACCAATGGGAATAGACTTCTGAGCATCTTTCAGATCTCCAGACCTGTTTGATCCAGCCATGATACCTTTAGAGAGGGGAAAAAAATCAAGTTAATTTCTTGAGTTCCTCGATACTTTGATATTCATATTGATATCAAATCTAGGCAAATCTAGGAATCCTGAGAATATAATTCTGTCTCCTGAGAAAAATCATTCCCTGGGTCTGACAGCTTCTAATATAGACAACAACCTATCTGCTTACCTGTGACAGACGGAAAGAAGATTCCCACGAGAAGAGTGAAGGAGGTGGTGATGTCAACAAGAACATATTCGTGGTTTAAGCTGCCTAAGACATCAGAAGATTTGGCTGAGGGCTTTTCAATGATCTCTCCCTTGGGTAGATAATTACTCCAAAGATTCTCTGCAGTGAGAAAAATGGAATATAAGCAACAGCAATATGGAAAGAAGATAATTAATTAATTTCCTATCCAAACAACATTCAAAATCAGACTCCTCATTTATATAGTTTTTAAAGGTATGTTTGCTTCTACATGAGTACCTATACACACATATTCATTACATAATAAAACACAAATAAAAACATAATGCCCCTCTAAGAAGGAAGAGTTCCAAGAAACAAAACTAAAAACATGTCCTCCTCATCCAGCTCAAGTACAATTTGACAAAATGCTTTGGCACATACAAATGCAATTAACTTTACTAATGCAAATTAGTAAAAGTTAAGAAGACTCAAGCTGAATGCCCCTCAAAGCTCATTATTCCTTTTTATTAGTCATCAATGCTGTTTCTAACACTATAGTGTGAACTTGCTTCCCTGCAAAGAAATTTGTGGAAAAATTGTTTAAGATAGAAGTCACTTAACCAAAGAGTTTTAGGAATTTAGCTGAATTAGGAAAACACATATGTGGATGTGGTGACATTAAATAGTTCTATTCTGTCAATGTAGGAATAACATTGGCAATTTTACAACAATACACAGAATATTTTATCTTATCCTAGGTTAAAAAGTGACTTGTTCAGCTCTGTTCTCAAAAGGAGGTAAATTTTAGCAGACGATACTCTGTAAAGGAGTCCTGAATAAGGATAATTTTACTAATGGAAAAGCAGAAATATGTTGAATTAAGAGCTGTGTGCTGTACTTAAGGAGGGAAGTGGCACCATAGCAGTGAGTCTGCATGAACAACAGAAGTGTCTAAGACGTCAAAGCCTATTTTCCTCAGAGAACAAGAAGAAACTTCTCAAATAACCCCCTAACTTACCTGTAATGATACCACTAGCCAATCCAGGAATGCCCTGGATTGAAGTGACATTATTGTGAACAAAGTATTCATCACAGGTAGCATTGAAAAATTGACTTGAGTTACAGAAGAAGCCCCATAACTTTGATGGGACTGTCATGTTGTTAATTTCCTTGGTCTTGGCGCAAATGTCAATGTGTCTTGATGAAAGGGTGCGGTTACCCAGCATGCAGACCCTAAGTGAAAACAAATAGGGAGAAAGATCGAGCAAGGGAAAAATACACTAAAAAAAGAAAATAGATTAGTAAAGGAAAAATAAAATCTCATCTCTAAGAGTTTCTACTGTCATGGGTGAGTAACACTGTGAATGATGATTTACATTTTCTGCTAATTCAATCTTTACAGCAATCACGCAACGTATTAGTATTGGTATTTCTGTGTTGTGAATGAAGGAACTGAACTTTAGGGAGTTACAGAGTTAACCGAAGGTTAGGGAAATATGTAAGGTATTTCACCCAAGGTCATAGGTGGCAGGCTGCAGTGACAGAATTCAAATTGAAGAACTGTGAAGACACTATGCTGACTCATCTTCTTAAGTTTTTAGGCTAAAATTGTTAGGTCTAAAAGAATCCTGAAGTCCTTTTGTTCTTCTTATTAAAAAAAAAAATGCCTCTATTTTTTTTGGCCTAGAAAAGCCTTACATTGGTAACAATCTCCTTGAAAATGTTATGCTAAAGGTTGAACCTTCTGGCTATTGTTGTGAGGAAAACAGCTTGGCTAGAATTTAAAAAAAGCACATACCTCTATGGCCTAAGAGAAAACTGTTTTTGAACTTAAGCCTAGACTCAGTGGGAGTGAGGGTATTTAAGGATAATACAAATATTAACTGCTGGTTTTATTTTTTTCTTTAACCCAGAGACATAAATATGAACAAAGGAATAAAACATCCACAATTAAAATAGCCCTCAAGTCGAACAAGGCAACTTTTAAAATCTGCAAAATGACTGCATAAATACACAATGAATCATGTACCTATTACTCAGCTTCAACAGCTCTCAACATTTCCCAGTCATATTTCATGTATTCCTCTAGGCTTTTTGTCTTGTTTTGCTCTATTATCTTAAAGAAAATACCATGCATCACAACCTTTTACCAACCAAAAAAAGAGGAGAAGCCTCAACGGAGAACTCGAGCCAAAATGGAATTTCCCAAATTGAAATATAGCCAGAATGTCACCCTTTAGAACTCTTATGACTCTAAAAAGGATCTTCAGCTATTTTACAGGCCCTAGATAAACAGACTAAAAACTTATGATGGAATCTATTACTGACATCACATAGCGTGGCATAGTAGAAGAAACACTGGATGGCAAGTCAAGAAATCGCAGGGTTCTTGCTCTGTCATTAATAAACTTTGGGGCAAGTCATAAACCTTAATGGACCTGTCTTTTTGTCTTGAAAAATCTATTTTTCTATCATCTGGTTAAATCAACATACAACTGATGCGTTTGATCCCCAGAGGATCCAGAAAACTTTCTAAAGACAATCTCTGTAACAAGATTACAGAAAACACTGTCAGCCAGTCCCTATTAGGGGTAGGGAACCTCGGGCCCTGGGGCCACATGTGGCCTTTGGGATCCTTGAGTGTGGCCCTTTGACTGAATCCAAATTTTACAGAACAAATAAGGGGATTTGGTCTGTGAAGTTTGGATTCAGTTAAGGTGTCACACTCGGGGATCTAGAGGGCCACATGTGGCCCCATAGCTGCAGGTTCCCCATCCTGGCAAGGAAGAGGATAGACAGAATATAGTTTGCTGGGAGTCTTCTTGCCTAGGCTGGGAAGGAAGTCTACCTGGGCTTATCCAAGAGGGAAATTTCAGGAAGACTCTGTAATAGTCTGACTTGAAATGATCACACCACCAGATATTGCCAATGACTACCCAATAATGATGGCTAGTAAGAGAGACAGACACGTACGGGAAGTGTGGAGGGGCAAAAGAAGACTTGATGGCTCCAGCATAGATGGCCAAGATGGACACAATGACACAGGCCAGGAAAAGTGAAGCAAACTTGTTCACATAGCGTACGCCGATAAATACCACCAATACCATGAGGACCAAAAAAGCTGTGCCATAGACACGCATGTTATTTAGCATGGCTGCCGATTCCTTGAATGCATCATCACTGCGAAAGATGGCAGCCCGGGGGACAATATATACCTGTTAGGCGAAAAAAAGTAAAAAATTAGGTCATTTCAAAATAATCAAGTAAAAAGGCTGTAGTTTTCCATCTTGGGTAGAGACAAAAAAAAAAAAAAGAAAGAAAGAAAAAGGCTGTAGTAGTTTTCATTTGCCTCCACAAAGGAAAGCAAAGCTGGGACAGAAAATGACTGGAGAATTAGTCTAATTCCAATTTGGATCTGACATGCCTACATAAATGGGATGTCATGGATTTTGTTTGTTTCTTTTGGTCTATTATACATGCTGTTCTGAATAACTACATTTCCAAAAGGGAAAAAAAGGAATAAATGAATAATTTTATTCAAAAGGTTATATAAAATAACTATAATGATTACCTTGAGCTCTGCTTCTGCTATTACTACTTTAAATAGTAAAAAATATATCTCAGTGAATAAATAGAGAAATTAAAAACATTTTATTTCATGGCGATGAAGACATCAAAAGAGATAAACTTTATTTTACTTTTTCCCATTGGTTCAAGTCTTGTCTCCAAGACTTTAACTTCTTGGTTGAGGTGGCAGAATGGTGGTGACTGGGTGGAGGGGAAGGGTTGTCTGGCAAAGGGTGGGAACTTCAACCTTTCTACCTCATATTCACAATAAGAGGCCAGCAACAGGTTAGCAATCCATCACCTGATTTATTCCTATAGCTGATCTCTCAGAAGCGTTGATATCAAAGAACAAAATAAACCCAAATCTGTATCTCTTCTATATAGTAGACAAAAATTAAGTCATTACTCACCAGAAAGATTTCAATGGCACCAAGGATATACATGGCTGCTGCAAATGTGGTACCAAGATAAAAGCACAGGCCAACAGCCCCTCCAAACTCTGGGCCCAGTGCCCGGGAAATCATAAAGTATGAGCCCCCAGCTAAAAGACAACATAGAAGGTAAATAGGATAAAGAGAGTACATTAGTAAGAGGAATGTAATAAGTCATAAATAAGAATAAAAATATGTATGAAGGACAAATGTTTCAGGCTTCTGAAAACCTGAATGTGATAAAATGATTTACTAGTGGGAAGTAAAAGATGCAACCTTTATTTTAGGATATACTGCCCATCTAATGTGCCACATGAAGCATTACAGTTTGCCAGTTATTACTTAGAAAAAAATGGTAAATATTTACTATAGGCATGAGATAGCCCAATAAAATATATTCTAATTAAAAGAAACTAAGAATGTGACTAAAATTAAAGCATTCTAGTTTAGAAAATAGAGATTTTAAAGAAAGTATCGTACAGTCAAATAGTATAGTGTCTATGTCCTACAGGCCGTTACTCTGCTATAGTACAGAGCAGACTAAATAGTATTCTGTTCCCCAGAAGTTTGTACCTCTAGCTGTATAGCATGAACACAGAATAATCACTGAGAATCCCTGAAACCCAATCTTGGCCTACTGACCTGGCACCACTCCATTAGTGGCAATGGCACTCATGGAGATAGCAGTTAACATTGTCTGTAGACAAAGGGAAAGGAGAGGATTGTTATTATGCAAAGATGACATTTCTGTACTACTTTCCCATCTGTAGACCTCAGAGCACTTACCAGACATTTAACTCTACTTTCTTTTATGGAGGCAGTTGCCTATCATACCCAATGGTATGGAAATAAGATTATGTGGTCCCACTCATTGCACTAGTCACACTATTCTAATAATACCTGGAGTATTCTGTTAAAATGCTCCTACATTATAATCAGTAGGTTATGTGCTATTTAAGAATTGCTAATCTCACCCTGTATCTCCTAGTTAAACAGGAAATACAGTATAACATACTCGAAAGGAATAAGTAGGGAAACAACTTGGAAAATAGGTTAGAACCTGCCTAAAGGTAACTATGACACCAAGAACAATATTCAGTAAGAAAGGGAACCACTGAAGGCTTTTGAGCACATACGAACTGTATTTTAAAAACATTACCTGGTAGCACAGTATAGAATGAATTGCAGATGGGGAGTAGCTGGAGGCAGAGTGACCACTTAGTAGGCTACTATAGTAGTTTAGTGAGAAGCAAAAATTACAGTGGAGGTAGTGGGAACAAAAAGGAAGGCTTGAATGTAAGAGATTTAGAGAGAGAATGGATTAGTACTGGTAGCTGATTACAAGAGTGAGGCAATTAAGGAATCAAATATAGCCTTGAAATTTTAAGCTTGAGAAACTTCAAAAAAAAAAAAGGTGGTACCATTAATTTTAAGTTATTAATGATATGGACTATATCTGCTTGACCTGTTTTGTACAGTACTCAGCTGAGCACAATGCACAGGGAGGGTTTAATGGTTATTGTGATAAAAGAGGACAGTAGAAACCTATAATAAATTTGATAGATGTGGCTGGTATACATAAATAGGAGGAGTTTAAATTAAAGGAGGATCAAAATGTTCTAGGTATAGTGAAGAGAAGACCTGGAAAGAACAACCGAATTTCTAAGGAAGGGAAGAGACTTCAAAACAAAACACCAAATATCCCTCACCCCCACAAATAACTCTGTTTTATTTCTCAGTACCTACTGGAGTAGTACATCACATTTTCTGACACATTTTCTGTCACAACTTTGATGCTATCAAGCTCAAATGGTTTGGATTGTGAATTCTTTAAAGATAGGGACTTTATCTCTTATTTCCAATTGAAGTCTTACTTTGTAATTTCTAGTATATCATATAATATAATAGATAGCAAGCAGTGAATAACAGGCACTAAATAACTGAAAGTCCTTTAGGTTTTAATATTGGAATAACCTTTCCTGTTGAGATCATGAGTCTTTCCCTAGATGCTTTGTTTTATTCCCAAAGAGGTCAAGTGCATATGCTGGAGAATTCGCAATGTTCCAGGTAATCTGCAGAAGCCAATGTAGGACTTACACAGCAGCAGCAGATAAGGACAATTGCAAAAGCCTGAAGAACTCCAGCTGTGCCTACCACCCATGTAAGGCGTAGAAAGAGGATCACTCCAAAAATATTTTGTAGACACGGGAGGTAGACGCCCATGAAGGTACCCATTTGGGGGGTCTGGAAAGAAAGATGTTGACAAGACAAAAAAAATCATATAGTCATCCCAAAGAGAGGTTTTTATTCTTTTACTTTTATATAACCCCTTGAATCCCAACTACCATATTAATCCCAGAGCAGAGATCCTAAGTTTAAGCACTATCTTTTAAAAGGCACATATAAAATTTCCATCTTTCAAATGTATATCACCATACTTTTATTATTCCTAGAGCTACATATTTTTACTTTACATAGGTTCCCACACATTTTTTTATTATACATAGGCATTTGGCCACAAATAAACTTTTAAGCACGCCCCCAACAATTTTCAAGTTTTCTGTTTTTCAAAGCTGTTGGCTTTCTCTTCATTTAAAAACTGAATAAGGACTTGATAGAATTGCTTCAGAATTTGGCAGAAATTCTTCACAGTAGTTGGTAAATAAAGTAAATGATAAAATAAAGATCTGAGGGCCATTTTACCCCTTTTCATAGAGCTGAAGAACCAGAATGCTAAATTGAATGTCTCATATTTTCATTTTGAGACAAACTGATATTTGGTCTTTAAAAAACCCAACAATTTCACAACAGACAGATGGCACAGGCAGATGAGTATGGACACTCTTCTCTTGAAGTGCTTGCTGTGCCCTCTCCCTGGGAATGCTCTTTTCCCACGTGGCTCACTCCCTCACAAGCTAGATCTCTGCTCAAATATCGCCTTGTCCGAAAGGCTTTCCCCGTCCACCCTATCCAAAGCAGCACCCACCTCCATTCTGGCTCCTTTGCCAGTCTCTTTACTCTGCTTAAATTTTTGTTAAAGCACTTATCAACACTTAATATTGTATATATTTTAACACAGTTAAAACAACTTAAGGGCTGTCTCCCCACACTAGAATTTAGACTGCGTGACAGCCTGGACATTGTATGTTCTGTTTGTGCTATGACCCAAGTGCCCAGAAAAGTGCCAAGTGTATATCAAGCCTTTAAGAGTAACTGAACACAGAATGATGCCCTGGGTATTTCCTCCTGTCTTATATACAATCTTCTAATTCATCCTTGCTATTTTGAGGCCTCACCTTGGTAGGCTTCTTTTTCCCTTCTGTGATGTTTTCTGCCTCTTCATGTTCCTTTACTCCTTGAGTCAGATTAGTGTAGTTGGCCATGCGGTTGAGGAGAGAAGACACTTTTGGTCTGGTGTCCATTTCTTCCTATAAAGCCAGTAATACGGAAGAAATGAGTTATAAAGAACACTGAAAATAAGCATCAAAACATTTCTACCAAAAAACTGAAAAGTAAATGAAAAAATATTTCACATGTAAATATTATAAGAAAATTTATAAATGAGACTTTATTCTCCTTTCTTTTCCCCCAGCCACAACATTAAAAAAAAAAATCACACTTAAGGCAACATGAATCCTCACAAAATTTTTTTTAATTGACAAATAAAAATTGTATATATTTATGGTGTACAATGTGGTGTTTTGATATATGTATACATTTTGGCATGATTAAATCAATCTATTTAACATATCCCTGGCCTCAAATACTTTTTTGTTGTGGTGATACCATTTAAAATCACTGTCTTAGCAATTTTCAAGTATACATTATTAATTATAGTCACCATGCTATACAACAGATTTCAAAAACTTTTTCCTGGCTGGGCGTGGTGGCTCATGCCTGTAATCCTAGCACTCTGGGAGGCCAAGGCGGGTTGATCGCTCAAGGTCAGGAGTTCGAGACCAGCCTGAGCAAGAG